AGTTCTATGATTCTGGCATTGAGTTCAGTATCTCTTAATCTCGATTTTTCAGCATTTTGTTCTAATTCCATTATTCTAGCCATAAATCCTGCTTCTTTAGCTAAGAATTCAGCCTTCTCCTTTTTAAGTTCAGTATTTTCAGCTACAAGCTTGGAAATCTGTTCTAATAAATCGGTTTTGGATTGAGTATTTGCCATTTTTTAATATAATATATGTATACATTCAAATAATCATACCGATACAGAAAAAAACATTAGCAGATTAAAAATCACATGACTCCGTGAAAAAAATTCACGCACTTTTTCAAGAAAAATTTTTAAAATTTCTCAATCATATGCTAGTTAGTATACATCGATAATAATACAATAAAATAAATTCACGAAATACACATGCAAAAGTAAACCGATTATGTATGCGAAATCAGCTTTATTATACACAAATAATCTATAGAAGGATTGGCTCGTCTATAATTTCACAGAACTTGCCAGTGGCATCCCGAAATCTGGCGCTCATTCGTATGTCCTCAAAACCCTCATCATGCCAGAAGTGAATGACATTTAATCCCCTATCCTGAAGCTTTTCGCTCGGCCAGTATGGGTCAGATACAACGGAATCCTCCCTAGAAAAATACACGATTCAAACTTCTTCAGGACAAAGCTAGTCGACATACTTTATTACTCGATCGAAATGTTTCTTGAGTATGGAAATGGATCATGTTGCTACGACTTCAAGGACAGCTTCAGGGTAGGGATTGTCTGGTTTCTTTATCGTTAGGTCACAAAAAAGGTGGTGCTAGTCTCCATCACTGCCAATCCCTTCAAGATGCCACTGGCCAGTTATTTCGAAGCCATGCACCTTTGCAAGCCAATTGTGCAGGATTCTATACATCTCTGCATCGTAAACACTCTCTCTTGAGACGCATTCATTGCACTTGGACTCTACTTGCAAATGGTTCGAACATTTATAGAAGCGGGTAGAGTCTAAGGCTATTGTCTTTTGGTCAAATACACGGACAGCAGATTTAATTATTTCCAGAGTGTTTACTCCCCCCGTTGGCCTGCAAAGGCACGTTCATATCAGGCAGAACCAACTTGTTTCCGAAACTATACACTGCTTCTTTGTAGGAGCGTCTATTGTGGCCAGATCCCTCTGCCTCTTCCCTAAAATAGATGAGGATAGTGCCGGCGATGATGCTGGTGATGATGATCTTACTGGTGGTGGTGACATCTTCCTTGCTTTGCTAGCTTTCCTCCATAAGCTATTTACTTTCTCTGTATCAGCCTGTAGAAAGCAAACCAAATGAGAAATGGAATAATATTTCCTAGCAAGCGTAATCAAATAAAAATAGGGTTTGATGGCGAATACAGGAATATATCAATAATAATTTTATTAATGTAAAGGTGCATATCCAAATTTTCCTTCGGAACCAGCAGATCTTTACTAAAAAATATCATAATATATTCCATAATGTTTACTAGGGCGTGGTAATAAATGTATCCATTTCAATACTTGCAGGACTCCTACTAGGGCGTGGTAATAGGTACAAGCATCTGGCTATATGCCCCATCAAAACAAATTAAATATGCTCACCTTACTATTCTCTATAAGATTTTGAGCAATGTCACGAACTTCTTGAGGCATGCAAAGATCATTATTAATTTTATGTAAGGTAATATAAAAAGTACAATATGCCTCTTTCTTCTCAGTGAACTTATAGTTATCAGTAATCAAGGCTACATAATGATCGAGTGCCCACTTCTCACATGGGAAAAAATCGAAATATTTAGCATATGGAATGCTTTCAGAGGTTTCTCGAGTATAGTTAGTAATAGACGTGGACATGGTAAAAAACGTATTAGAAATCAGGTACACAGAAAATTGTAGCGGAAAATACGTATGACAAA